ACGTGTCGCAAGCTCACTGTGTGAGATGGATGTCCAGACGCGTAGCCTAGCGGCTCCTCGTCCGGAACCGGTCGCGTAGCCACGGCCTTAATAGTAATAGTAATACTATCCATCTATCTATATGGTTACGTCGATCTGTCACTCTTGACAATTAATCAACGGTGTTAAATAGTGCTGATAGCAGGCCCGTAGCCAGGGGGGGGGTGGGGGGTTCGCACAACCCCTCCCCCCCAAGCAAAAAAAATACCTGAGAATTTCACCTCAGGTATGCACCAGATCGCTCCATTTTAGTGTAATAATTGCAAAATCTCCATTGTGCGGGAGGGGAGGCCTCCCACACCCTCCCCCCCGCTCAGTGGCTATGCTCCCTCCTGCCATCACAAATTGCCAACATTTAAAAACGAACCCCCCCCCCAATATAAAGCTGGCTACGGGCCTGCTGATAGGGTCTATGTCCCTCAGGGTACTATCGGAGGGTACCCTGGGTACGGTTCGATATATCGCAAAGTACCTCGGGGTACTATACGATGTCGCTGCATACCCTGCATTGACCCACCATACCCTGACTTTCAGCCAACTGATGTCGAAATACATACACTCTGTCAAGTTACCACATCACATAGAAGAAACCTCAAAACATCGCAATCCAATAAAAATGTATTCTATGTTTGACTATATTTTTCTTTTTCCTTTTTCATATATTCACATTTTCATTTTCATATCATTCATGATCTGAGAGAAATCTTTCCAAATGTACACCACCAATGGGCACAACAGTGCTATCAACCTGCATGTTGCATAATTACACGGCGATACATACAATTTCCAGAAGAAATGCGAATACTGAAACGAATATTTTGCGGGAACGGACCGGAAACAAGGAACGGGAGCATAAAGTCAGGTAGATACAATAATGTAACCCAACAACAGTAGGGTTACACTACCCTTACATTACCCTACTCTTGTTGGGTTACATTATAGTAACTAAAAGTCAGGGTACGGTGGGACAATGCAGGGTACGCAGCGACATATCGTATAGTACCCCCGAGGTACTTTCCGATATATCGTAGCCAGGGTACCCTCCAATAGTACCCTGGGGGACATACCCGGGACATCGACCCTATCAGCCTAAATAGTACGATTCTTAAATCGTAAAAGGTACGATTACTACTCTGTTAGGCTAAAATAATGTACCAGGAAATTAGAGAGCTAGATTTATTGGGTGCCGAGTCTAGCAAATAAATCAGTTTCCGAGACTTTGGGCATTTCTATATATATAATCTATTATTATTCACTCCTGATAATATTATCATTACATTATTAGATGAGATTACTTAGGGCTGAGCGTAACGCCCACAGGCACTTGGAGCGTTTCAATAAAATTGCTAAATAAATACGAAATCTATTTACTACCAAAGTTTGCGGCAGCCAGCGTGTGTTGCAGATGAACATTTGGACGGCATTTACAGGAAATTGTCGGCAATAATAGGTGAAAGAGAGTAGAGAAACATTAAGACTTTGGTAGTAAATAGATTTCGTATTTATTTAGCATTATATTTTATTGAAACGCTCGAAGTCGAAGTGCCTGTGCCTGTGCCTGTAAACATACGTTTTTCGTTGCCTTTTGCGGATCTTAATTCCAGCACTTATTATCTTATTTACAGCTTGACGTAGAACGTCATTAATACACCTATGAACCTCCGTGTTTATCATAACCCAAAAGCTGTTTTCGGGCAAGCAGATGTCGGCATAGCCACATAACACTCTAACTCTTATAAGCTTAGGCTCCATGATTTCTAACGTGTTTATGTGCACGCTGTCCATGAAGTTTATGAGCGAGGGATGTGAGGGATTTTGTTGTCATTTTTCATAATCAAAGATGAAAATATGTTGCTCTGTAATAGTGTGCTCAATAGAGATGCTTATATAATTTTGCCTATAACAAATTGAATTAACTGTTAACCATCTATGTTATCCTTATACTCGTGCAATACTATAACCATGACATGTAATGATGTATATTTTATTGAATAATAATGCTGCTCGTTTATCCCTTTCAAGCCTCTAGTAGGCGCCACCTGCTGTCAAAAAATATTTTGGAATGATGGTCACTTGTCGTGTTGTTACGGAAGAGTAGAGGGATGCTGTGGCTGTGCTCCGTCGCGTAGTTCTGGATTTTAGGTGCAATTAAATCACGTATTTCAAGACAAGATTGTTTGAGCAAGGTTAGGAACCACGTTATCTTACACAAATATGAAAACAGGTATGCCGCTAAACCGCTGCGATAACGCATACGAGGTGTAACTGCAAAGTCTGTTGTCAGGGGGAGTTTTTCTGTCGCATGTATCATTGTATGAATTGGACTGAAGCCAGAACAAGCCCTTCCCTGGCCTGGGCATTAACGAGTTGTAATAGTGATAATCGACCAAGTCTAATTTATCCATATTCTTTTTTAATGCCTGGCATTGAATAATATACGACCTATGAAACGCCTTATAGTTATATTAATTAATATTTTTTCCATTATTTACATAATGCAACTGGCACTGCTACCAGGAGTAAGATAATATAGATTAATAAGATAATAATCTATATTATCTTACTCCTGCTGCTACTATTACTAAGTTGTGCCTAGGCTAATGGCGAATGCACATAAAACAGAGTTAACGATATCCGAAAGAACTCTAGCTGTCTGCTGCACGCGGCTTTGGAAGATCTCAGCGAGGATTCAGTGGGTCAAGAATCCCTCTACCTTCATCGACAACAAATGGTCACAATTGTTAATGAGATTATTTATAAGACGCCCTCACAACGGCAGTGATCGATGCCACCGCTTCACTCGGTGCTTGCTAGAGTATGATGGCAGATGCAAGAGGCATCTCATTTAAAACTTGCAAAACTGGATACCATGGGTGAAGGTCTGAACGAACTTCTTTGGTTTTCTAGAGCATTTAATGAAGCACCACGGAACATAACCGTACGGTGGAGGAGCACCCCTGTAGAAGAGCACCAATTGCGATGCGCACGGCCGACTCATCGTATTTGTATGTCTAACATCAGAGCATCCTGAGTCTTGAGCCGTGAACGTGCTGCTGTACTGGTGCTGCAGATGCTATGAGATTGCAATGAATAGGCGGCCGGACCTCGATATCGGTGCGATTATCGAAACCTTGTTAGCTGTGAGACAGACTCCGGGAAAACAGGTTGGTAAACACCTCTACCCTGCCCTCATTTACATGTATCTGCCATGCTTATATTCGTTAAGAATTTTAAATATATCGGTGAAACAATGCTTTTAAACATTTGTCGATTTTTTTTCTTCATTAAAATATTTGCCGTGTTGTCTATTCTCATCTTTATGTATCTCCAAAATAATGATTTTAAACGTTGATATGGCGTCTTAATTGTGCTGTAGTTTGGAAAAGTTAAACTGTACATGTGCAAGCAGTCATGGTGTTAACTAGTATATATCCTAGTATTCATGATCGACATGACTAACTGATTATCTTTGGCCGTCGTTGGAAATTGCGCAAACGATAATCAGTTATGAAATTTCAACCTATTCTGCCGTTAATTGTTTCACTTGTCTTAGCCCAGGAATTTTTCTAGCAAACAAATCTAGATAATGAAGAATTGTTTTCCGGTTGTACATTAGTACTTGGCTATATATTCACATAGTAGATAAAATTAATTACTTATGTCTATTCCACCTTTTTGGTCCAAAAACATTATAGTGGTGCCAACGTTTACTGTTGCCAATTTGCAGTTTACTTGCTTGTTTAGTATTTTGTTTTCTTGTTGCCAAGCGTTGTGATATGAACTGGTCCTGCCCTCCTATTGGCATAATCCAAAAACCCTTGCAAAAACTCATTTGCAGGTTTTATTTTGTTCGAGAGCAAAATTTAATGTGGACGGACTTTCATGAAAGACTATATGATAAATGTTTTAATATGAAAGTTCACGCTCGGGTGAAGTAGTGCCGTCAGTAATTTACATCCATTTTCACATCGAGTCGACATGTTGTAAAAACACGCCACGGGTTATTCGTGCTAAGTTTTAACTCAGGCGGGAACGTGGGGACACGTAACATACGCGAGGACACGTTACATACGCGAGGACACGTTACATACGCGAGGACACGTTACATACGCGAGGACACGTTACATACGCGAGGACACGGTACATACGTGAGGACACGTAACATACGCGAGGACACGTTATACATACGTGAGGACACGTAACAGGGCGGATAGGCGTGTGGGCCTCATGTCAGGGCGGGCAGGCGTGTGTGTTCATCATGTAGGTTCAGGTAGAGTCCAGAGGGACTCTATATAAAGGGACTCTAAGTTCAGGCCTTCAGGGGCTACCGCCTGCCACCTACCGCCTGCTACCTACCGCGTTCAGCGTTGTTTGTCGTCGCATTTATCTGTCTTCTGTTTGTACAACCAACGTCGACTGGTTAGCCGTTAGCTACAATTATTATATTGTATTAATATTGTACAATATTATTGTATATTATTGTATATTATTGTATTGTATTGTATATGTATTGTATTGTATATGTATTGTATTGTATTGTATTGTATTGTATTGTATTGTATTGTATTGTATATTATTGTATATTATTGTATATTGTACAATTATTACAAGTATTATTCCTATGCGGTCGACTTGCTACGCAGGTGTATATATATTCTTGTACAGCGCGCTATATTTTCATATCGACTCAACTAATGCAATTTTAGTTCATTAAAACGCTAACCTAATATACCACTGCGTAGTACGCGCACTCGCGTGTGTGGGCGTACATGCGTGGGTGCGCGCGCGCGTGTGTCTCTGTTTGTGTTTTTGTATTTGCGTTTGTGTGTGTGCACGCGTGTCGATTTCCCCCTAGTGCCATACTAGTGTTGATTCTTCGTGTTTTGAGGCGACTCGTGGCAGGCTGCCGCGCTGTGACTCTGAGACCGCGGGTTCGAGCCCAACCTAAAAGCCTAAATTTATACTTATTTGGAGCTATTCTGGATGCTATGGAAGCTGCATTTTGATATGTGAAGTTTCAAATAATATTGACGAGCATTCATAAGAATTATTGCCCCTCGCGAATTTGAACTGAATCGATGAGCAAATTCGCGGTCAGAAACTGGCGCGTGCATCAACCACAAGCGTCGATATCGAAGCGTTTCGAAGGTCTGTACTTCAAGGCGCGCCGGCCACGTGCATAAAATAAATGTGAGGAATCTATAACTGGCGTTGTTTTGCGAAGAATGTTCCTAAAAATGGCAGAATAAACTGTACAAAGACGTATAGGAGAGAATAGTCTACGCTCACACGGCACGTAGCCCCCCCCCCACACACACACACACACGCCACGCACTGCACGCCACGCACGGCACGCCACGCAGCACACGCACGCCGCACACTGCGCACAGCACGACCACACACAAACACGACACGACACATCGCACACCACGCAACCACGCACACGCACGCACACACACACACAGCTGACACACACACACACACCACACACACACGACACACACACACCACACACACATACACACACAAGCACGACCACACACGCAACACGCACACGCGCACGCACACACGCACTACGCACTACGCACACGACACACACACACACACGACCAACACACACACCAACACGCACAGACGCACACCCCGCCCCTTCCACACACACCGGGTAACGTTGGACTATACGCGGGTGGGCAGTCCCGTTTCTCATCACCAATCGACAGCCATGACTAACTGAGACCAAGTATTGACTAGCGCGTTGTTCGGGCGTGAAACACGTGAGAGGCGATCTCGCGAAGGGCAACCTTATATGAAGAGGGCCAAGCTGTTATGAATGAAGCTTCTTATCCGATGGGCTCCTGACATTTGGACAATCGCTACTAGGGCGGTGTAACGATGACACACACCTCTCCGATTTCGATTTTTGATTCGATTGTGACGCCAAAAAATGAATGTTATTGAAGTTTTGTATATTTTAATTTTAATTTTAAACCGAACTATTACATCCATGCTTTTTTAGCTCATCGACGCAAGTCAGATGCAGCCTTTGAGGAAGTCGATGCATTGTCCAGTGCGTCCGTCCGTGCGCTGTGCCGTGCAACAGTTTGGGCAACAAATCTAAACACGCTCGACCGTTAGCGCGTCCACGGATATTCGAGGAGATTCAAGAGACGCTTCTGGCGGCTCTTGTTTTTAATTTATAATAACAAAATCGCTGATGTAATGTAAAATAATAACAGCTAATAGGTCAAGATGACTCAGAAATTATGAGAAATCTGGGCGATCCGATTCGGATTTCGGTGGATCGTATACAGCCCCCCGCTACTGTACGGCCTTGACGCGTGAGTCGCCGCTACTTTGCCAACGTTAATGCAGCGTTTCGAGTGACCGCCCAGTGTTGTTAGAGACAAGTCTTAAAGTAGATGGTAACACAGTAATATAGCGGAACATAGTGTCGATATCCTGAAAACTGGCGGTGAAATTTTCAACCTTTTGAAATCTGGTTTTCAAGATTTCTCTT